GGGGTGTAGCTCTGTGGTGAAGCACTTGCCTAGCATGTGTGAGGCTCTGAGTTCAATCCCCAGCACTGAAAATAATTGGTAGGAGGGCAAGGAGATGATTTTGGTTCCGAGGATATTGTGGGAAATGTAGAAGGAATACAGTTGGAGAAGGAGAGGATAGACCTCAGTCTGTCCTGTTCCTCCCCTACCCTGGAAAAATCTCAAGCCCTCCAGAGGAGGAAGAACAGTAGGCTAGGCCTTCAGAGCTCATACAAGAGGTGCAAAGTCAGAGATGGATCTTTCCTATTTCATGCACTCCCCCCAACTCCCTCACCCCTTGTAGGGACTGCTGTACTTTTGGGATGACCCTGTTGTGAAAGGTGGAATAGGAGGGAGAGTGGGAGGGCACCCTGTAGATGTCATCTGTACCTAGCCTTGCTGTTGACCTGGCTTTGGAGAGGAACTCTAACCCCATTCCCCAAATTTGGAGGTAGTGTATCTGTGAGCACTCTGCCATGACCCTCCAGGAGAGCTTACCTGATTCCCTGGGTCAGATGTCTTTCTCCAAGGTGCCTGAGTACTTATTCTGAGTTTTCATTTCTTCCACTGCATCACAGGAATAACTGGTATCTTATGATGATTGCTGGGAGAATCAAGAGATAAAATGAGCAAAAGGGCCCATCCCAGACATGGCTCAGTGATGTTCTAGTTGAACATATGATTCATCAGAGACCTGTACAGAACAGATAGAAGCCAGGGGACTGTCCAGTCCAGCACCAGAGAAAGGAGATGCTTCTGGACAGAGCCCCTTTAACCCCTGAGTTGATTTTATTTGCCAGTGCATGAACTTTGGACCCTCAGGAGCCTTCTGCCCTATCCCACTTCCTGTTCCATTCTCCTTGCCTAAGAACTATAGCAACTCCAGATCCATAGCAGCCAATCAGGCCCTTCACAAGGGCTTCAGTGGGGAACCTGTCTCATCCCATTTAATCCTCAGAAAAGCCAATGCCTCAGATTTTATACTGTTTTGTAATGTGAAGACTGGCAGAGGGTAAGTAACCTGCCCAAAGTGTCCAACCCAGGTTTGTGTGCTTCCCAAATAGGAGGAAGGGAGAGAGAGACACACAGATAAACAGAAACTGAAAGAGCTAGAGTTTGTGGAAATAGAGTTGAGGGACTTGGAAAGTGAAATTAGATAAAGGGTAGAAGAGGTTATGGGAGGGGCACTGACAAACTTCCTTCCTCCACTTTTTCTTTTGCAAAGAATACAATCCAACTCAGCTGAACTGACTGATTCCTGCCCTGGGAGAGTGGAAAACAAATGAAGTCTCTTAATGGGATTAGTTTATTGGTTATTCTCCCCTAGGCAGAAAAATGGTGATGGTCAGAGTATCCAGATGGCCAGAACTGAACATCTCTGTTATGAGCAGGAAGGTTTTAAGTAAGAGGAAAGAATAGGGACTGGCAAGACAAACTGTGACCTACAGGGACATTATTTTACATAGGGTCAACCCCTGCGGAACTTAATTTGTGCTCTACCCTTCCTTTCCAGAAATTGGACTTATTAAAAGAAGCTGCCAAGGAGGTGGCAGAGAGTGGTGGGGTCCAGCTGGACTTGCCTTAGACTGGGCATCCAGGCCAGAGCTGGAGGTGTTGCAGGCTGTGGACTACAGGGCCTTCTCAGGGCTGGACATTGGAGCTGTATCTCTTGGAATTCCTCCTTGTTACTAAGTGCTCTGATCCCCCTACACAGAGCCAAATCCTATGCTATAGACTGGCCCCTCAGAGCACAAGAGGCCCATTTAGAAGTCATTCCATCCTGGATAGCGCAGTTTCCCTGGGCACAGGGGAATGGGGCTAGTATTGTTTAACTTCTCTCAAGGCTCAGGACCTTGAACAGGGGAAAGAAGGGGAGCCCCAAGGGGCCCCTCCACTTCTAGACTCAAATCCTCACTCATTTCCCATAATGTCTTTAGTTAGTGCTCCTTAAATTCTGAGGTCCTTTCCTCTCCACCTCTGGCCCTTCCCTCAGGAGGTCACACCTCACCTTACTGGTCCATGAAGGTCAGGGGAAAGAAGTCAGTGCTCTTCTTTCACCACACCTGGTGAAAGAAGAGCACTCACCTTCTATAATGCAGGGACCCATCACCAGAGGGGGACAGGCTCCCAATTTCTCCCAGGATGACCCATTGCCTTTCTTTTCAATCCAGCCATTGCTTGATTTCAAGCAAGGGGATGGTGTTCTTTCTGTTCCCAAAAGGAAACATTAATAATTAGCAAGAGCTCCTCTGAATTGAGAGTCTTATGCCAGTGCTTTATATGCATTATTCTCTCCATTCTTTTTTTTTTTAATTTTTTGTTGTTTTGTTTATTTATTTTTAAATAAATAAACAAAACAACAAAAAATTAACCCAGGGCCTCACACATGCTAGGCAAGTGCTCTATCACTGAGCCCCAACCCCAACCCATCCTCTCCATTCTTACAACCAGCACAGTAAGTAAAATTATTCCAATTTTATAGATGAGAAAATTAAACCTTAGTAATTTTCCCAAAGAGATGGTGGGTTTAGAATTAAAACCCAGTCCTAGCTGGGTGCACTGGTACACACCTGTGATCCCAGCAGGAGGCTGAGACAGGAGGATCAAGAGTTCAAAGCCAGCCTCAGCAAAAAGCAAGGCACTGAACAACTCAGTATAAATCCTGTCTCTAAATAAAATACAAAATAGGGCTGGGGATGTGGCTCAGTGGTTGAGTGCCCCTGAGTTCAATCCCTGGTAACCTCCAAAAAAAACTCCAGTCCTATGTGGTGCTCCCCCAAAAGTGAACATGCATGAACATGCAAAAGCTTGCTGCATTTGCTGATGAGCATTGTGTTCATTTTCTCTGATTTTGCAGCCTCCAGGCTCCTTCCCAACAAAAATGATTCTATCCACAAGACTCTCCAGATATTATAAAGTTCCGAAGGTTTAGGGGATGTGGCTCAGTGGTTGAGCACCCTCAGGTTCAACCTGGTACCAAAAAAAAAAAGTTTCCCAGGTTTACCTACTATAAGAATCAACCCTTTGGTACTGCTGGACCTAGACCATGAATGTATTAGACTGTCAGTTTGGGTCCTTAGAGAAGCAGATGTGAACACAATTATACATGCAAGAAAATAACTGTTAAAGATACAGGGGAGGGCCAGGGTTGTGGCTCAATGGTAGTGCACTTGCCAAGCATTCATGAGGCACTGGGTTCAATCGTGGCACCACCTAAAAATAAACAAAGTAGGGCTGGGGATGTGGCTCAGCCATAGAGCATTCACCTAGCACATGCGAGGCACTGGGTTCGACCCTCAGCCTCACATAAAAATAAATAAATAAAATAAAGGTATTGAGTCTAACTACAAATAAATAAATAAATAAACAAAATGAAGATACAGAGGAAAGAAGCAGGGGGAAGCAGGAAGAACCTATACCTGGGGAAGAAGAGAGGAATGGAAGAATCAGGAGGGAAAAGCATCAGATGACAGTGGGACTCTCAGCCAGGAAGTCTCAGCCAGGCCAGTGGGGAATCCCATGGAAAATAGTCTATTAGAAGGCCATCTCCAGGGGCTGGGGATGTGGCTCAAGCGGTAGCCTGCTCGCCTGGCATGCGTGCGACCCGGGTTCGATCCTCAGCACCACATACAAACAAAGATGTTGTGTCTGCCGAGAACTAGAAAATAAATATTGGAAATTCTCTCTCTCACTCTCTCTTTAAAAAAAAAAAGAAGGCCATCTCCATGGGCAGAAATGGCTCAATCCAGCCTGTACCCCAGCCATGCTCCCACTTGTCTAGAAGCAGCCAGGGAAACAAGAACACTGAGGCAGGAAGAAAGGTGCAGCAGCTGCTGGGATGCTTTCACTCACTGCATTGTCCCTGCAGGTTCTCTTAGAGAGAGATCTGAGCAACATGCCTTTGGGGCCACCGCACAGAACCAAGGTGCTGCTGACT